GGGTGGAGAGGTTAGCTACGCCCATGGCCCAACAACGTACCCGCCAAGCCCCCGGCTTTTTTTTCTCAAAAGGAGCTACAATGTGAAGAAATGGTTGGTATCAACAGGAGAATCATTCTAAAAACAAATTAATTTCCTCAATCAAATGGACTTATGCTAACCAACTTAGTGGGGCTCGTTACAACCTTTATCAAGACATGGTTTTATTTCAAGAAAATAAATGGCGACAACCTAACAAACCATACCGACATTTTGATTCTAATGGTCCTCCTCTCCCTTTTGTCTTTATCCATTTCTTTCCTGTTTTTGTCAAACATGAAATTTCTTTCCTTTATTTCCCCCTGTGAACATAAAAATACTTGCACTTGTATTCACGAGGCTTTGTGAAGTGTAAAGAATTTTTTCAACTATATCAAAATTACGAGGGAAAAAAAGAAGCTAGGATTCTTTATTTAATGTTTTTTTAAAAACTTTTTACTACACTAAAAAGTTAATTTTGAAATGAAAATTCCTGAGGTTATTGAACGTAAATCTTTGCATAAGCCTATGCAAATAGGGTTAAAAGCAGTAGATAGTCTAGTTTCCGTAGGTCTTGGTCAAGAAGAACTTATAATCGATGATCCACAATTAAATAAATAACTATTACTATTGACATAAATGATCTAATTCCCACGATGGCGCTCATGGTGGGTATCATAACTCATGCTTACCGTGAGCACTAGATCAAAGCCGTTGCTACTGATGCCCTAATAAACCAAAATTAATTGAACTCAAAGACCAACTTGAGATTGAGATATTATATTGTATCTATCTAGCAATTGGGTAGAAGCTCTTGACTATGGCACGATTAGTTTAAATTTAAAAAAGCGATGCTTTATAATTTTCAATTATTGTAGCAGCCATCTCTTTGAATCTTGCTCCTCTACAAAATTTGGCCCCATATTATGGATGCGTCGTGTGGGAGTGTTTCTGCAATAATAAAATCGACGACATATAAATAATCGACAACGATCTTAGTAAGCAAGACATGACATATCAATATATGTAATTATTGTTATTCCGACCACTAGGTCATAATGCTTTTGCAAGGAATGCTTTTTATTTACATATTTGTGGACATATTGTAATCATCTCTATGTTATCTTTATATTCTCTCTGGTCCATCGCATATCCATTCCTTGTGTTCGATCGTCCCACTTCAAAATTTGCATGATTTTCTACTTAAGAGGTCCAAAATGAGAAGGGTAAATGAAACTGAGTAAGCGACTGATAGGAAGAGAAATTGAGTAGAGTAATTTTGACAAAATAAAGCCATTTTACATTATCTCCCTCTAACTTGACTTATCAAGACAATAACCTTTTAATGAGATTATACAAAACATTAATTTTTCTTTCCACAATAATATTGAAAGCACTTAGTTGTTTCAATTTGGCCTAGTCAATGTCATGGCTATCCAGTTATGGACCAACTAACATCCCAATTTATTGATTCTCAAGATGTTTGTACATAAAGGTTGGGTCCATTTATAATCATGGAGTTTGATTAGATTATTAAAGATAATTAATTAAATATAAATTACCAAACAAGTGCAAGGAGAAATAGAAAAAAAAATGCATAAAATAAAAATAATAGAGTTTAATAAAGGATATTAAATTAATGTTTAATTATTAGTTTGAATAATTGGGCTACATGATTCCACAATTATTGGTAGATAGGAACATCACCAGCCTCCGCTAATATCATTATCAACAAAGAATACTGATTAATTTTATTATTATTTCTTTATGATGCAGGTTGTCGCGCAATAATTTTAGAATGAAAACAGCAAAAAATAATAATAATAATTATTATTATTATGTTTGTTTGGTGGTTCGAACCCTGGTGCTGTATATTACTGTACGGAAAAATTGACCATTGACACATGCTAAAAGGAATACAAACTAACTTTGGTCCCGGCGGGGCTCGAACCCGCGACCTTCGGCTCATAAGACCAACGCTCTAACCAACTGAGCTACGGGACCTTTGTATCTTAGATTAAATTTATATTTTTTTATATATGCTCCAGCAGAGTGACAACTCACATATCATTCGAAGTTTAAAATAAGCACCAACGACTTTGAGGATTTTCAAAATAATGTTTATTGAAATTTACATTTTAGGAAGAGACAGATAATTATGACTTGTCTGTTTAACCTAGAAATAAAATAACAGTTAAAGATATCTCGTATCTGCTCATTTCCAAATTTTGTATTTATCGTTTATGTAAATTAGTTTAGTATAAGCATATATTCAAATTTTGTTATCTCTCGTCTCTATGAAAATTATGTTGTCGACTTTTAATATAAAACATAAATAATTTACATTTACCTGTTCTTTATGCACTAAAAAAAACCTAACCCAATGTATTCTTGATAATTAGGCCTTTATGTCTAGACTAAAAGTTGCACATTCTTTAATAGGGATGGGCAAAACCTAAGTCAACTCGCTCAATCTGATCGACCCAAACCAACCCGATCGGTTTGGGTTGGTTTTTTAAGTTCAATTGGGTTGGGTTGGGTTGGGTTTCGAATTATGATTTAAAACCCAACACAAGCCAACCCGATGAATTAAAAAATAATAATATCTAAAATGAAAAAAAACCTAAATAAACACAATAATAAAGATATGAAAAGGACTTATAATTTATAAACGTCCATTTTTTTTTTTTTATATATAGATTGATTCCTATGAACACAATTTACAAATGAAATGTTATTTCATAATAAAGTAAAAATTAAAAAGATAATGATGAATGAATAAATCCCAAAAAATTGTAAAAAATAATAATAAATACTTCATAAATTTTAAATTTATTTATACATCATTTTTCAAAAAGAATTTCTTAAATAGGTATTTAAAAAAAATCATAGATTTTCAAGTAATTTCAAACTGTAAAAATTTATCTAAATTTAACAAAAATATAATCGAATCCAACTTTAATTGGACTGAAATCCAAACCGACCAACCCAACCCAAACTTGATCGGGTTGGGTTCGGTTGGATTTAAACCATTAATTGGGTTGGGTTGACTTTAAATAAAACCGATCTTGTTGGGTTGGGGAAAAAATCGACCCGACCCGACCCGACCCGACCCATGCCCACCCTACTCTTTAACAAGGCTTTAATAAAAAAGATAGGATAGAGACAGTTTAACAACTAACAAGGCTTTATTTCTCAGTTTTGTTCTTAAGAAATTAAGCATGTTCTCCTCAGTCTCCATCTCTAGGCAAAAAGTTGTATGTCTAGAAATACGAAAATTGTCAAGTAGAATTTGGACCTGTCACTGATGGAATAAAACTAAAAGTAAAACAAATGTAAGCAAAGATCATATAGATACTCACATAACACTTTTAACTCTCACCCTATTCGAAAGAATCTTAAAATAAATCTTTTTCAGAACAGCACATCTGGGGGAATTGTAGTAACAGAAAGAAACCAGTCAGCATCATGTTTGCTTTGCTAAGTAATGCAGCAGCATCTACTATTCGACTTCCTCAACAAGAATACAGAAATGGAAAATGAAATAATTTCCTAAATAAAATACGTGTGTAATTAAAAATAACTAGGAATATCAACTTCTTTTCTTCAGAACTTAGCAAGAAAAAATCCCCCCAACCAGGAAAACAAAAATCAGGTCCATCTCAAGCAGCTTTGAAGCTTTCCGAAAAGAGTTCGCAGTTTCGTATTTGCTGCAACCAAATCAATGACAAGTTTGAGATATGGGTTTTTTTTCTTCTTGTATCTTACAAGAACAAAATCAAGCCTGATGAAATTCATACCGAGTTTGAAACAGAAGGAGATATTTTCTCCCGTGCCCGCTTGAAGTGTATATCTTTGATGGTCCATGGTGCACCATCTGAAATTTCATTCCTCGATTTCTGTTTATCCTCAAGAGCTAACAGAGCAGCTTCATCCATCTGTCATAAATAAGAAGAGCAGATCTTGAGATTGATCATGATAAGGTAAGAGCATTTACATCAAGAAAAAAAAAATGAAATAAAATGCAAATCCCATTTTCTCACTCGAACCACATTAAAGTCCTATCAATTTTCTTTAGGATGACTTATTTATACTACCCAAACCTTAAGAATGCAATTTCTCGCCACCTTTGTCATGTGCACTTAACTTCACTAATTACTCACACCTATCAATTACGAACCTCAAATCTACTTCCAACTATTCATTTTAATTGAATACTAATAGTAATCAATACTAGTTTTGCTAAAAAATCCTAATCATTTGAAGAAAACAATCAAGTAAGTACAAACAAACCAGAGCAGACAGGTCGGCTCCACTGAAATTTTTACAAGCATCATTGCTTCCAATTGCCATCAAATCCACCTTTGCATCTATAGGTTTCTTCCTTCCAAGAGCCGTCAAGATTAAACCACGCTCATATGAACTGGGGAGTGAGACATATATATGTTTCCCTAATCTTCCTGGTCGAAGGAGGGCACGGTCCACGACTTCAGGCCTGACATTGTATTTTCAAAATCAAAGATGTTAAAGCACAATAGATGAGTCCCACAGTAATTCTCCAACACAAATAACAATTTGTACCTATTCGTGGCACCAATTACGTAAACACTTTTTCGCGGTTCTGCACCATCTAGCTCTACCAATAGCTGCAGTGATATGGCTTTGATTTCAGTTCTATATCTAGTCATATACACAATAATGGAGGATACAAGTTGGCAAGAAAGCATTTAACAAGACATTTCACAAACCTGATTCAAGAGCTGCTCAACAACCCCTCCCCATTCTTGACCGCGTCTAGTTGTCAAAGCATCCACCTGATAAGATGTTGAACATCAACACAATCCCAGTTTCCACCAAATTCGCTGAAGAATGTCAATAATCACTCATTTCTGCTAACTGTACTTTTATACCTATATTCTGTGTAGGC